CCACAGCTGTGATACAAGGACATCTGCAAGCAGGATCTGAAGGACTTAGGAATGGACCTCAACAGATGGGAAACCCTGACATCTGAGCGTTCAGCCTGGAGGCAGGTGTTGCATCATGGCCTCTCCCATTTTGAAGAGACCCTTGTCCAGCAGGCCGAGGCAAAGAGGAAGTCACAAAAGCATCAAAATCTGGGAGCTAGACAGGGGACAGATTGGATTTGTCTTCAGTGTGGAAGGGATTGTCACTCTGAATTGGCCTTCTCAGCTACACTAGACGCTGTTCCAAGTCCTCCATACAGACCACGTTACCATAGTCTTTTGAGACTGAAGGATGCCTAATCTAAAAAATGCCTGATATATGATTATATCTTCTGCATATTTACTCTTCTTCTTCTTCTTCTTCTTCTTCTTCTTCTTCTTCTTCTTCTTCTTCTTCTTCTTCTTCTTCTTCTTCTTCTTCTTCTTTTGTATTTACAACTAAAATTTTGATTTAAAAACCACAACAATATAAAAATAAATGCCTTTACCAACCGTAGATATTAAGCTAGTACTGTTTTCTTGGTTTTACAGATGGAGAATCATCTACCTTTTGACCCCTTAAGGGAGATTTCCTGTTCTGAATTATTTGGACAGCTTTCCAATGCACTCAGGACTGAATGTGACAGAAAATTTGTTTCCCGCAATGGCAATATAAATCATATATTCAGCTGAAAAGAAAGTGATACTTATAATGCATACTGTAAAGAGAATCTGAGCAGGGAGTAAGGTGACATTTCTCTCAGGCCCAGAGGGGTATGTTTGGCTTAGGCTGCAAGCTTATAATTATTATGAAGATGAAAACAGGTTTTAATTATTATATCTCATACCTGAGGAGGCTTCTGCCAAGTTATTTTCCTGTCATTGTATGGGATCCAAACCATGTGAGAACTAATGACATTTCCTGCAGTCAACAGTATTAAAATTGAAAAAAGTAACACTCCGAATAGCAAACTGCAAAAAATTCCACAACTTATAACTTGGAAGACAAACTGCTGTGTGTTGCACTATGAGAGACGTAGTTTCTCGAGAACTACAAGTCTCAGAGTCCTTACTATGGCATCCAAATAGTGGAAAGAAGCGTGACAAATAAAATAATAACTAAAGGGATATAGCAACTTAATGTAGCAGGCACCAACATTGCTGGCAAAAATCACAGGCTCCAGAATACACGTGAGAAAACAAGTCAGTCCTCTGATCTCTGAAGTTCATAGAAGAAACAACATTAAATTACAGGAATCCGTGGCTTGCAAGTGTTTATTCTTGTGTATAATCTAAACACTGCTAAATCTTGCTTTGATTAGAAATCAGATAGCCAAAAAAAGTAACAATCTTAAATAAAGGGACATAAAGGACATCAGTCAATCTTCTAATTTTTCAAAAAAACTAAAATAGACTCCAGGGAAGAAGAAAGAGGTTCAGTTTTACAAGCTGATATCAAAATCTAGCTAACCTGTTACAGTTTCGTTTTGTGGTTTTTCCCAGTCCAGGATGACAAAAGATGGACAGCCTTCAACAGTCACCACAGTGAGATTTGTAGGAGGCTTTCGTGGGGGACTAGTAGCTGTATCAGTGCTCTCCCCCTCCTCTGTTGGAAAATATTGGAGAGTATCTGTGATGGAACATGGTACGTCGTCTTCTTTTTGCATGTACTTAACGTGGTCTCCTAGAAGAACAATATCAGCAATTAGCCCTCATTTTTACAAATGATATGGTAAAGTACATGGTTCTCATCATGGAATGCCTCTCACCAAAAAATATGCTAACAGCAAAGTAGCATGTAAAAGAGGAGGTGCTAAGTTAAAGCTCCTTCCATTGATATCTAAGCTGAATTCAAGCATTCTGTGTTTAACCAACATATTCTACTCTACTCACCCTTGTCCCGTCATTTTACTTATTTTAAAAGGAATTGTTATTAAGAGAAAAGATTCTTCTACCTATGGAGAAGCATTGTCTCATCCAGAACCAGTTGTCTTGTGGTGTCACTTGCATGGAGATTATTTAAAAATAAAATATATATTTTTTGTAGGGAGGAAGCATTCTGTTATGTGAGGGTGTGACTACATTGGAAGTTATTCTGATTTGGCTTTGCAGTGATTTGATTCAAAGACTGTATTATGTTTGGAATCACAATCAGTGCTCACACAGGGACTGCGAGTTGGTTTGGTAATAGACCACATTGAATGTGATACAAATTGCATTCCAGCCCACAGCCCTTCTTCTATCTTTCCTTCCTTCTTCTGGTCCCACCTCTGCCAGTCCTTCCTTCCTCTGGTCCTGCTTTTGCTGATTCTTTTATGGTTCACTGTGAAGCTGCTGTCTCATTTGAAGCTTCAGACTACTACTTTTCCCAAAAAATTTCTATAGACAGCTAGCATGGAAAAGTACTTAACAATCTAAAAGTATAGAACATCAAAAGTTTGAACAGTAATTTTTCAAAATATATCATAATTCATACAGAATAAGGTCTGTATTTCTTAGCAACTGCACCGATATATCAGACAGCTCCTTGAATGAATAAACTGTATAATAAACATCAAGAGTGGTAGTGAAGAGAACTGGTAAAATGACAGTAAGCTCAGAGAGGAAAACACAGGGTTTTAATTCCCCCCCCCTTTTTTTAAATTTGAATAATAAACAAAAGAGGATATGGAAACCAAGCCTTACAAGGAATTATCAAGGAAACTGGATATTGTAGTCTGGAGAACAGAAGACTGTTAGCCATCTTCAAATATGTGAAGGGCTGTCATGCAGAATGAAGATCAAGTGAGTTTACTTTCTGTAGTTCTAGAGAACAGGACCCAAACCAGAGGATTCAAATTGTAAGAAAGGAGATTTCAACTAAACATTAAGAGAATCTTCTAACTGGTACAGCTATTTAGCAGTGGAACAGACTATCTTGGAAGTTGCTGGAATCTCTTTCATTGGCGATTTTTAAAAAAGAGATAGGATAACGATCTGTTGGGGATGTTTTGGCTGGGACTTTGTGCATTGGCAAGGAATTTAACTAGATGAGTCTAGGGATCTCTTCCAACTCTACAATGGCATGACTCTACAATACGTTAAGTAATTTCTCAGTACTAAATAAATATAGATTTTTAGACATACCTGTATACCTTGGTGTGCCTGCAATATCAGTTTCTGTAGTAGGCAATGAGCTGAACATCGGGCTACCTAAGAAAAAGCACAAAATACTTTTAATTAAATTCTGCTTCTCTCATTTTAATCTCAAATCCTCTCCTTGGTACATGCTTGGAATTGGGCTGTGATGGAAAATAAATGCCTCTTTGCACTGCCAAAAAAAAAGATAATCGTAATCCAAATGACTGAGCTCATTATTTCTGTTGGAGACACTTCATGCATAATATACAGAATCTTTCTAAAAGGAGGGGTTTTTTGGTGCTTCTTTGATATTACAGTCATTCAACATTGTTTGTCCCCTCAGGGAGCCCACTGGGCCTTGTACTTAGCAACACTTAAAAATTTGAAGACAAAACTAAGCCAGTTCTTCTTTTCATGCCATGTCATGTACTTTAATATCCTGCGAAAGATATAAAGACACATTTTGCTATCCAACATGCCAAGAAAACTAACGCCAGTGAATTTATGCTGGTAAATAAATTAAAGAATGCAATGGAACACATTCTGAATGAACGCGATATATAGATCCCACTAAAGCAAGCAAGAATTAAATCATAAATTTATGACTTAATTCTTAAATGTCTTGAGGAAATGCACTCTATTATTTAAAAATTAAGTATATGGGTTTTCCTTAAACTTGCTTTTAACTATAGATCACTAAATCACTCCACAGAGCTATTTCAAATCTATTGTTTGCTAGCCAGCTTATTTCTCTTTTGAATGTACTCCATAACATGGTAAGGAGGTTTGAGAGCATCAATAAAGTTGAGAGCAATGCAGACAGGAGGTGAGACTCCTAGAAGGGTTAACCAAAGTGTAATAGGCAAAGACAGAGATAGGCATGAACCTCAGCTCAAAGGTTTGTGTTGGTTCAGATGTGTGGCCTTACAGATGCCACAAGTTCACTTCCCACACCTCTCTGGCCAATGACCCACTCACTCCTCTTCAGATGTCCCACACCTCTCTGGCCAATGACCCACTCCTCTTCAGATATTCAACCAGTCCCCACAGGAGTACAGGGTTGCCTATCCTGCCTCTTTGTCTGAGTGAGCAACCAGCCAAGGAGGGGGCGCAGGAAAGTCCATGCTTCTGCCATAGACAGGTCAAATAGCCAAAGAGGAGGAGGAGAGGCATGCACACTGGCTGGCGAGTGGGGAATCCAGCCGGGGAGATGGGGGAAGGGACACACAGCCCCTCTGGTTCCGCTTGTATAAATTGGCATGAGCCTATGAACATGAGGTTCTAGTGGTGATGGAGGTGGAGAAATTCTTGAAGGGCAGCAGCAATAGTAGAAAGGGACACTGGTGGAGGATCTTTTATAGATAAAGGTATGATACACAAGCTAGCCCTTATCACTTCTGAATGCTTTATACCTCAAAATCCTATGATGAAACAATCCAAAATGAATCAAGAGATAATGCTGGAAGATAGTACTTCCAAGTCAGAAGGCACTGAATTCAGGTAATATGATCATGTACCACCAAGTCAATTCTGACTTATGGCAACCCTTTTTAGAGTTTTCCAGGTAGAGAATACTCAGAAGTGGTTTACCATTCCCTTCTTCTAGGGTTACACTGGGACTGTGCAGTTTGACGGCTAAAATCAGCTAACAGGGAAAAGCAAAAGATAAGTATGAATAGTATTGTTGCTAATGAAATAATTGGATTAAAGCTGAAAATATGTCTACTTGCCAGTACATGCAGACACAAATGGAAATTCTTATATCGCATGTCACAGATAACTGGAATATGGAATGTGATACATATGAATCAACGTAAGCTCAAAATAATCAAACAAGAAACAAAATGTTCAAATAGTGCAATATTCAGGCTGCGTGAACTAAAGTGGACTGGAATGGGACTTGTAAAAACCAGACAATTATGAAGTGTTTTACTCTGAAAACAACAAATTCAGAAGAAATGGTGTGGCTCTAGTGGTAAGAAGGCATGTAGCACAAGCAATTAGGCACTATAATGTAAAGTTTGACCAGAAAATATCAACCAGATTCAGAAGCAGGGAATAAAGCAGAACCAAACATTGTTGGAGAATTTGTCCTGTGATTAGAAGCAGGAGAGCAACTCATAAAATTCTGTGAATCCAACAATTTGTTTTGAATATATGCTTCAGGCAACCTAACAGATAGTCATACAAGTGGATGTCATTGGGTGCATACTATGTTAAAGCTAAAGGTTCCCCTTGACATTCTTAGTCCAATCGTGTCTGACTCTAGGGGGTGGTGCTCATCCCGTTTTTCTAGCCGTAGAGCCAGCACTTGTCGGAAGACAGTTTCCGTTGTCACGTGGCCAGCATGACTAGGGAACGCCGTTTTACCTTCCCACCGAGGGGGTACCTATTTATCTAGTCGCATTTGCATGCTTTTGAACTGCTAGGTTGGCAAGGAGCTGGGACAAAGCGACGGGAGCTCACTCCGTTGCGTGGATTCGATCTTACGACTCCTGGTCTTCTGACCCTGCAGCACAGGCTTCTGCGGTTTAGCCCGCAGCGCCACCATGTACCATACTATGGTATACACAATTAATTGTTAATATCAAAAATTAGAGTAAAGCTGAAGAACACTAAAAATCATAATGTCAAAGTGTAATTTAAATAACACCCTTAAAAATTTTAAAGAACAGCTTAATATTATCATACTCAATTGACTGCGAACCTGAAGAATTGTGAATAAATACAGAGGTATGGTTCAAGAGGAATGCATTTGATTGTCCTGATGTTTGACCCACACTCTGGATAAGACACTTCTCTCAGGAAAGAATATGAGAAACTGGATGGTTTACAACTGGCAAGGTGGTCAGACAAGAGCATATTTTACCTCCCTGACTATTCTTTGTATATACATGCCATATCATATGGAAAGTAGGGAGGAGTGAAGGTTGGAAAAAGAAATATTAATAATTTGAGATATGCAGATGTCACCATGGCAGACAATCACAGAGACCTGAAATGTGATGAAGTTTAAAGAAAAAAATGCAAAAGCAGTATTATAGTTGAACATTAAGTAGACAAAAATGATGGCCACAGAATTATTAAATACTTGTAATGTTGATGACTTATGGCAACCCTGTGAATTAAAGACTTCCAATAAGACCTATCATTGACAGCCCAGGTCTTACACATTAAAGGCCATGATTTCCTCTATTGAATCTATCTCATATTTGCCATAAGTCAGAAAAAACTTAATAACACATCACAACAACAGCCAATTCACTCATTTCATTTGAACATATTGTTCAAATTAGACTGTATGTACCAAATTAGAGCTTCAACCAGGAGACATAGCCATACCAATTAAAGGAGGCACAATATGAAAAGCATGTGTCAATACTATGATGTAGATACTGATTTTAGTGTTTCAAAACTATGTCATCAAAAGTGAATCATGTTACTAAAAATAGTAATTGGAATGATGATTATCCTATTGCATCCTGATGATAATTAAATTACATAGTACAGTGTTATTTGTGCAATACAGTACTTTCTAAGGGTTTTTCCGCCCACTCAAGTTCTTGCAGCTGCTATAGTGTATCACTTTATTCATCATATGTTGTTTTCCCACTCCTATTAGACCTTTGTGTAATGTCTTATCTACATTCTGTTGTACAATATGTCCGCAATTGCTAATTAATTTCCAGGTAGCAATAGATTTCCTGAAAGTACAGTAGCAATGACATATGACCTTGAAAATGTCTCTCACAGTCACCTTTAACTACTGGTACAACTGATTTGGCATGAGTGTATAATGTAACACAACGAAACAGATAGTAATTCATGCTTTAAAGCTATAATTTAAAATAGGTTATGAGCCAGTGAAAAAGCATCAAATTGAATTCATATGTTTAGGAAATCCACTGTTTACAGCCATCCATTGTTAGCTGAATATAGGCATCTGGCTGTGAAGCCAGAGGTTGGGCATTCAATTTCCCAATATGCATTCCAGAAGAGCCAGCCTGTGTGGCCTTGGGCAAGCTGCACAGTCTCAGGATGACCCCAGAAGCAGAGAGTGGTAAACCACTTCAGAGTACTCTCTACTGAGAAAACCCTGTAAAGGGTCAACATAAGTCAGAATTTATTTGGCAGCACATCATCATCATCATCATCATCATCATCATCATCATCATCATCATCATCATCATTGTTAGAAATGTTAATTCATTTCTATTCACTGCTTTCTGATTTTTAACCAGTTATTGATCCATAGAGGTATTCTCTTTTTATCCCACAATTGCCACATCTACTTGGAAGTCTTTGGTGAGAGATGTGTGTAAAATGTACTTGAAAAGTCCAAGTATAAAAGGACTTCCCCTAAGGACATCAGCTAATATATGTTATTGTATTTCTTTGGGATTTTTGATCTATCCAGTCAACCATGTGATTATACCTGGAATATGAAGTGCAGTCAGGAATTTGAAAGGCTGGTGCAAGTAGTGTGCAAAAACAGCTTCATTTGTATTTGGAATGCTGAGACATTAACAATACTGCTATCACCATTATTAGTGCTCCTGATTCAATGGATCATAGATTAGGCTGCTGCTTTGACAATTTTTTTAAAGGAAAATACCCAGAATGTGCAACTAAAATTCTTACTGTAATCGGGAGAAGATGCTGCTGTGGGTGGCTTTTTTGGTGATCTTGTTTTTGACAGACTCGTTGGTCCAGTAGGATTTGTTATGGAGGATGCTGTGGAAAAAGAAGAGGCTCGTGGCATCAAGACATTTCCTATTTGGGAAAAAAAAAGAATTCCAGATTTAATATAGACTTGCTTCTATAAAGAACATTTTATAGGCCATAGACAAGATAAAATTCTTTATTAATTCTAGAAAAGATAGGCAGAGATGAATTCTTATTTGAGCAAAAATTGTTGAAGCGATTTAAGACTTCATACAATTTCCTTAGCAAGACATTTCTATAACACATCTATGCAATTATCTGATTTTCTTTTCTCCTTAAGTCATGTCACATAAAAGATAAACATAGTCTGATTCAGCTAAGGAAATAATCAGAAAATATAGGCATTAGATGGATGTACATTTAAAAAACACATTGGAATGCACATTTCTAAGTAGACATATGCATATTTAATTGTTTAAGAGGAATAGCTATTCTTTATGTGCATTTGAATTTGTATCTGCTTTAATGTCATGGATGAAATAGTTCAAGGTAAATAAATTTCTGAAATATATACAGTACCTGTTTGTCCCAGGAAAACTTGATTGGCCTCTGTTGTATTTCCACTGTTATGCTATAATAACTTCCTGCCCACAATCTACATCTATTTAGCTTCACCAGTCTAAACTGGCTATCTCAAAACCCTTTCTTCTGCTGCAAATATAATTTCCTTATACCTGGAACTGACTCCCAGAGCATCAGTAAAATGCCACGTTTGTTTCCTTTTCAAAGTATTGCTCAAGAACCGCCTTTCCATTAAACTTTTGGCAGAACACTCTGGGTGTAATACTGTACTGCAACTCAGCCCAAGTACATGTATATGAAATAAATGTGCATTCCTTCCCTGTTTCCATTTGCTTCCATCTTCTTCTTCTTGCCATATGCTATCAAAAAGCGGTGCATTATCTCAAATACAATTTGTTGTTGTTGTTGTTTAATCGTTAAGTTGTGTCCGACTCTTTGTGACCCCATGGACCTGAGCACACCAGGCCCTCCTGTCTTCCGCTGCCTCCTGGAGTTGGGACAAAGTCATGTTGGTAGCTTCAACGACACTGTCATCAAGGTCAGCAACCACAGTATCTGGGTTGTCTGGGACATCCAAATCTTCTGGTATAATTCCTCTGTGTATTCTTGCCACCTCTTCTTGATGTCTTCTGCTTCTGTTAGGTCCCTACCATTTTTGTCCTTTATCATGTCCATCTTTGCACAAAATGTTCCTCTAATATCTCCAATTTTCTTGAACAGGTCTCTGGTTTTTCCCTTTCTATTATTTTCGTCTATATGTTTGCACTGTTCATTTAAAAAGTCCCTCTTGTCTCTCCTTGTTATTCTTTAGAGGTCTGCATTCCATTTTCTATAACTTTCCCTATCTCCCGTGCATTTTGTTTCCCTTTTCAATTTTCTGTAACCTTCCCTATCTCCCTTGCATTTGGTTTCCCTTCTCTTCTCTTCTATTTGTAAGGCCTCGTTGGACAGCTACTTTGCTTTCTTGCATTTCCTTTTCTTTGGGATGGTTTTTGTAACATTTTGTTCCAATGTTACGAGCCTCCATCCATAGTTCTTCAGGCACGCTGTCCACCAAATCGAGTTCCTTAAATCTGCTCTTCCACTGTGTATTCATAAGGGATTTGGTTTAGATTATACCTGACTAGCCCAGTGGTTTTTCCTACTTTCTTCAGTTT